AGAACAACTTTTGGGAAAGCAAGGATATGTGAAATTGAATGGAAACCTCAGCTCTATTCATATGATTGTGCGAAAATTCTACAACCAGTCCTTCATCAACTTAGACGAAATAGCGTGAATACATCTCATACTACTGATTTACTAGTAGTCTCGAAACTCTACTCGAATATGAAAAAAAAGCGATACAAAGTTGACTGGAAAAGTCGTGTCTGTTTGTGTGTTTGTGGGACAATTCAGCTTCCACTCCTTCATCAGCTCAAACGAACTGGCCTGAATGCATCCGAAATGAGTGCTTTTCGGCCGTTCTCGAAACTCTGCCCAAACGGAGCAGAGTCGATTTCGGATGGAATGCACACGTCCCGGCCCACCTTGAAAGTCGCGTGTGTTTTGTGCACATTCCCCCTCGCCCCTCCTGCCGTGGGCAGAGTTTGTGGCGCCGAGACTGTCCAACCGAAACGCCGGCTCGTGTCCGGTTCGCGGAGCTCGAACCTGAGAACAGCTGCGGAGAGGCACGGTTCTACGCGACGACTACGAGACTTTCCGGCCCGGCCGACCGGTCGTGAGGACAAACAAATGCGACAGCGAGTCAGGTCATGACAACTGGTGTCCAGAAGGCACAGACGGACAGACGTTTGGCGAAGAAGGAGGGGGTGGGAGGGGTGTGGCAGGATCGAGCAATGGAGATTAGGGCCGGAGAAGCTGATAAGCGCCTCCTCAGCTGTTGCCTCGCAAGCTGTTGCCATCCGACGCCAGCTTGCTTGAAGCAGATAACACGAGTTTGTGTGTGCATGCCAAACGACGGTTTGGCGAAGAAGCGGGAAACGCAACTGTACCATCTTTGGCCAGTTTGGCCAAGACCGACTGAGCTGAACCGAGACGAGGCATGCACCGAATCCCGGCCGACTGGAAACAACGCCCTCCCCCCGGAACCCGCCAAGTTGCCGTGTCTGTCTGCATGTGTACACGTTTGTGCATGTGAGTGTGTGAGAGTGTGTGGGCAGGCGGTAGCTGACACGAGCAAGACGGACCGGCGACGGCCAGAGGCGGTGGGGAGGAGAGCGGTTTCCGGGTCAACCGACCACGACGACAGGACATGTGGGAATAAGAGGCCGCCCCTCCTCGGTCCGTCCGAGCATGGCCTTGCGAAGGACCTTCGCCTCGAATGGCTCGTCAATGTCGTTGTCATCCGCCCCTTTCAACCCTCCCTCGTCCACTCCTCCTCACACTCCACCTCCTCCTTCTACTCCCTTCCGACTCAAAAGAGAATCACACGTTTTCGGCGCAAAAGTCGCTTCTTCTCTGTCCCCCGACCCAGACAAAATGCCACCTTTTCAACGCCACTGAAATGGGCCTGTCGTCGGAGAGGTTAACTTTCACGTTGGGAGATGTGTTGTGGAGTTTTCCCACAATCTGATGACACCCAATGCAAACGTGTGGTCTACTCATATGATTGTGGGAAAATTTAGCCATCAGTCTTTAATCGTTTTACACGAAATAGGCTAGTCTCGAGACCCCAATTATAAACTTTAACTTTACACTACTACCTATCAAATGAGTAGACATTTAAATTATCCGTATGCACAGATTGCCAAAGCTCAGTTTCCTAAGATACATATATGCATATACGTTGGTGCTTGCATGTGTGAGCATGCATAGGCATTAAAATTCAGCTTTCTAGCGTATGTGCGTCCGAGTAGGGAAATGCTTTAAAAGGGAATTTCCCGACTCTCGCCTTGGACCATTGTTTTCCATTTGGCCGAATGAGAAAACCAATTAAGCTTATTTTTTCTCTTCACTTAACCAGATTGCGTGAAATATTAATTTCAGAATGCAAATGTAAATATTGTGGAATATAAATTAACTGAAGGGTGGAGACTTAATGCACACGATAAAGCATAGAACACATGTTTTTGACATGCATATTTTCCAATAGCAGCCGGAAGAGTAGATGAGTGTTGTAAGAACAAAGATAGAGCTGGATAAAGATGGAGAAAACATAGTCATTTCTGATTGAATAAATCATCATTCACCAGACCCTGATGGGAATTTTTTTCGCTCAAAGACGAGAACATGTCGTCTATTAATCATTTAGCACGGGACCAGAATTTTGAGGACTATCGTCATCGCCTTTCTCCACCAACCGGTCCTCCGGCCAAATGGGTAGACGGAATTGGCATAAACTGAGGCGAGAATGACTCTGTGTGGGGTGAAACGCGACACTTGTTGCTTGTTGCTTGTTGCCGCTTCGTTTGGAGAGCGGTTGGAGACTCCAACCAAATCAGTCTGTTGCAAAACATTGCGTAGGTACTGAGGCCTAAAAGCCTACTTTAGAAACAGGATATGAGACGAGTCAGGCCTTGGAAACAACATTTCTCGGACTTGACTCTCGTTGGGATCAAAACTCTGCGTCAGCATGTGGTACGACGCTGTTTTGCGAGGAGGCAGCAAGAGCAACCCTCGAATAGGAGCTGTTTTTGGGTGATCCGGGCACTTACAATTGGCTTTTTCCACCATCAAATGCGTAAGCCTTGCAACAGCATTCGAATTTGAACTTATCCCAACTAAACTGAACTTGACTGCAGCCTCCGTATCGTCTGAAATGTCCTCCTCTGAACTGCTGCATTCAAGGAAAGTCAGACCATTCTCAACCCACATTTTGTGGGGAAATTGTCGATTAATCAAATGTGTCATTTCCACTGCAATAAATGATATTACTCATTCCGATATGAGTAATAATAGAGCTGCATTCTACCCAAGTCGCGTGGGATGTTGAAAGGTTGGGTCTTCGTCCTTCTTGGTTGAAAATACTTTTTGAGAGGCAGAATTAAGAGGAATTCCATGACATTGGTGGGCAGTTGTGTAAAAATGCAACTCCACAAACGAAGATATCTACTACTTTTGACGCTGTTAGTAGCGTCGTAGTGTCTGCGTAGTTGGTAAAGCCACAAAAGCTCAACAGGCTCTGACATGCTCTATTTGACCCTCGTATTCTGACCACTATCAATGCATTATTATCCCTACTCAGACTATCACTCCCTCTCTCTCGCGCTCCATCTCTCTCTCTCTCTCTCACACACTCACACGCACGTGTACGCCTCCATGCGAAACGAGACAAAATTATATTCCAAAGAATGGGGAATAGCGAAAATCAAGGCAATTGAAGTGGTCTCTTTTTCGCCGAAAATCCTCGCATGCCTGCACAGGAGAGGCTGGCTGATCCATTCGGCCAGACTTCATCTCCGCATTGCCCAATCACCATGACGCCTATTCACGAGTGGGCCCCTATGGTCCGGGTTCACGGTAGTATGCTAACCGATTAGGCGTAGCTATGACTTGTTGAGTGAAGAAAACAGCTGACAGGTTGTATTCGGCACAGAAACGCCACTCGAAGAATCAATGCCGTTGCCCAGAAACTATATTCACACGAGGTGGTATGTTTTCGAGACTTTCACTAGGACTTGTCTGAGAGTCGCATTAAGTGATTAAGGACTGCTGGCCGAATCTTTCCACAATGACATAAATAGGCCTCACATTTCTGGTGAATTTCACATGTCCACCCAGAACTATGATTTAAGCTCTGCTGATAGACTCAACAGACTACTTCATCCAAATTTAAGTAGTGTAGCCGATTGTAATGGCAAAATAAATGGTTGCCTTGTGTGATTTGGGAGATTGCAGGCATTATGTGAAATTCACCTCTGCCATATCACCCTCCTCAGGCTTTTGTGCAAGTCTAGCGGGGTGATGTTGGCTCGAGAACATACGCTGAACCAACACGGCCTAAGCTCGAATCCCGCATGGGTTTAGGATAGGACTGTGTGAAGCTGTGTGGAAACTGCGATCCACCATAGCCGAGATGAGAATGCCGTTTTGGTCGAGTTTGATATTGTAAAAAATTCGACCCTAAACCCTTTATCAACTTAGACTAGCTGGAATGCTTCTAATGAAATCGGGCGTTAAAAAAGAGGAAGAAGAAGAAGAGGAAGAGGAGCAGGATGGTGTGGTCTTTTGTATGGTCACGGTCTCCTCTCGTTGCAAAGAAGTTATTTGACCAAGTCGCGAAATTAAGGTCAAACAACTTCTGAAGGATTTTTGTA